GGGGAGAAGGGAGAAAAAGGGCAACACTTGAACTAACATTAAAAAGCCACATGTATTAAGAAAAGTGAATTGAAAAAAGAATCTTGAAAGAATAAAATTACACGTAGGTGCTCATGTACAACATATAGTATAACAAACTGAAGCACTGCTGTTGTCCTACACATTAGGTAAAAAATAATGAAGTACTTAAAATTTTATCAAAGGTCATATGAGTATATGTTGATTATATGGCTGATTAGAAATGTTTCAATTTATTGATCTAAGGTAGTAAGTTATATCTTGATGTTTCAATGCTTGTTTTAATATAAATGCTACAAGAACATGAGTTCTTTTGGCAGTTATAACACAGCAGCTTAAAAATGCACTTAAATATACTTTTAAAGCTACTAACAGTAAAGAGCTGAAGATTATTTTGAAAGTAAAGAAATTAAATTATAAATCCATACCTGAATTTTTTTCCTAGTTTTCAGCCAATGCTTGTTGTATCTCAAATTCTATAGAGATAACAAAATAATTATAATTTCACATTGTGTTTAAAAATCCATATTGCCAGTAGGAAAAAACACTGTTCTTATGGCTGTTATAGTGAAATACTAAATTTGAAGTGTAATTTGCTGCTGAAGACTGTGGTGTAGCTGAAAATTGTGTTCCTTTTTATTGCACAAACTATCTTGGATACAGTAAGGCTATATTTTGTGACCCTGGTTAAGTTATGCGGCTTGATCTTTCTCTCCTTATTTTGGTTTGAGGTGTGGCAGGCATTCCTTAACAAAGGATGGCTAGAGGATTAAATTTAACATTGAACACAGACTGTTTATTTTAAAGCATCTGCCAGATCTTTTTTGCTTTCAGTCTGTTTTCTGTTTATCAAATCCAGTAAAATTAGGACAGAACACATCATTTCATAGACCGATTTGAGGGATGCATTTCTTTAAATTAACTTTGACTTGACTTTAGGACTTTAGATCACTTTGTAGGTTAATTTATGAAATATTTATATTTTACCTGCTTTCAAATCATAGAATCATAGAGAATTAGGGTTGGAAGGGACGTAAGGAGGTCATCTAGTCCAACCCCATGGTCAAAGCAGGATCATCCCCAACTAGACTGTTCAAGCCAGGGCTTTGTCAAGCTGGGCCTTAAAAACTTCCAAGGATGAAGATTTCACCACCTTTATAGGTAACTTGTTCCAGTGGTTTACCACCCTCCTAGGAAAATGTTTTTTTCTAATATTCAACTTAAACCTTCCTTACTGCAACATGAGACCATTGCTCCTTGTTCTGTCATCTGTCACCACTAAGAACAGTCCAGCTCCATCCTTTGGAACCACCCTTCAGGTAGTTAAAGACTACTATCAAATCCCCCTCCTCCTCAGTCTTCTCTTCTGCAGACTAAATAAGCCCAATTCCCTCAGCCTCTCCTCAAAAGTCATGTGCCCCAACCCCTGAACCATTTTCATTACTCTCTGCTGGACTCTCTCCAACTTGTTCTCTTCCTTTCTATAATGGGGGCCCAAAACTGTACACCATACTCCAGATGTGGCCTCACCAATGCAGAACAGAGCAGAATAATTACTTCCTTCAGTCTGCTGACAACACTCCTACTAATGCAACCCAGTATGCCACTAGCTTTCCTGGCAACAAGGGCACATTGCTGACTCGTATCTGTCTTACTGTGCACTGTGACCTGGTCCTTTTCTGCAGAGCTGCTGCTTAGCCAGTCATGCCCCAGGTTGTAGCAGTGCATGGGATTTTTATGTCCTAAGTGCAGGACTTTGCACTTGTCCTTGTTGAACCTCATGAGAGTTAGTTTCATTTAAAAGCATTTAATAGCATTTGAACTCTCAAATATTAAGAAATGGTAGTTTAATATTATTCTGTTTTAAGATTTTAAACTGTAAAATCTTCTGTGAACTCAGAATTTGCTAATTTGCAATAGACAAGTTTTGCACCATGAAAGGACATTCCCACAAGGGCAGTACAGATTTATCTTGGCTTGGATAATTCATGGCCTGAGTATAGAAAGCCCTAAAGAAGAGAAACATCAAGTTCACTTGTTTCATTTATACTCATCTCCCTTCCTAACTCATGTTATGAGTAAATGAGCCATAGGAGTTGCTTTTCTCTTTGAAGTATATTTGGCTTACATTTTGATTTACTGTGGAGGCAGGAATGCCAGAGGCAGTGTTAGAGAAAGAAGAAGAAATGGACTCCCAGGAGGGTGGAAGCTGGAAGATTGTGACCTCTGGCAGCAAGCAGAAATCTTCACCACCAGGTCATCAGAGCAAGTCAGGAGGAAGATCAAAAGGCATAATTGAGCACTGCAGTATCACAGAGGTCTCCCATGCGAGGGACATTGGCACCCTCCTGCTGGTCTGGGATGTGTAAGGTCTCAGTGCTGGTCATCCACTTCTTGAGAAACTGCTTGATTTCACCATCCATTTTCTTGAAAGGCATCTTGGGGACTGCTGAGCATCTCAAAATGAATGAGATACAGGGTGGGGCACATCTACATGATACGCTAAGTGTGCTGCAGTAAAAATAGTACTGTGCAGTAGTGAGTCACAGAAAAGACCGTACTAATATGCTACAGTACAGTATTATTAGGCTACTGTGCAGTGGTGTCACCTAAAAGATGTTCACTGGCATTACTGTGCAACTCAGTAACTCGGGTTACTGTGCATTTATTTAGTACTAAATAAATGCACAGTAACGACTGTGCAGTAGTGTATCATGTAGACACGCCTGGGGATGAGGAAAATGTTTATAAGGTGTTGATCTTCTGCCAGGGAGCCATCAGGGAGGAGTCATGTTTGGGGGCATCCTGCATGATCCAATGGATGGTCTTTTCCAGTTTCTGTTTGGTATCTGCCCAGCTGTGAGCCCTGGGGCGGGGTGGTTGCAACTGCCCAAAGTGAGAGGTGGGCATCCAGGTTGTGGCGGGCACTCCTGAGCAGCTGAGCCAACCAGTCAGCCATGCGGGGTGATGGGACAGTGCCCAAGTGGCCAAAGGGGTATCTCTACCCAACTGTATCCCCTTCAGAGTAAATGAAGCAGATCAGGGAGTGGGGATAGATGCTATGTTTTTTTCTCATTTTCTGAGGTTGGGATGATCGATGTTAAACCTTTAAAGGGCCAAACAATCAAGTGCTAAACTGTCTATTAGTGAAATACCTGACAATTGTCACTTCAGTCCACGAACAAGAGTCCGAATGAGCAGCAAAATTTTGCAGAGTTCCCCATTGTCCTTCCTGTAAAAATCCAGTTTAGTTCCACTCCCTTTAACATACATCTTTAATGTAATGGGTGTAGGGGGATGTGTTAATACCCCTGGAGAAAGCCCCATGCAGACAAACCAAAATCCAAAACACCTGTTCTCTCAAACTCTGAGGAGATAGCCTCCAGTGTTCATAAGCCTTAGTTGCATACTGGCACCCAGTTTCCCTTGGTGGCTCATGGACAGGAATGCAGTACGGTCTGTCCCCCCCCCCCCCAAAAAC